GAGACCGGTCCTTGGAGAAGGACATCATGCTTGGGAGGGTGGAGGGACAGCGCAGGAGAGGAAGGCCCTGTATGAGGTGGATTGATTCAGTGACTAGGGATGGGAGTGTCAGAGACAGTGAGATTGGCACAGGACAGAGCGGAGTTTAGGGCTGTTGTACATAGGGTCGCTATGAGTCGCATGCGACTCGATGGCACATAACAACAACAACAGTGGTAAGGAGTTCGGTGCAACACCAATGAGAAATGGTTCAAATCCACCAATGGCTTAGTGGGAAAAGGATAAGCAGTCTCCTTGAGTTCAATTTACTGCTTTTGAGAACCTCCTGGAGGATCAGCTATAGGTCAGTACCTTCTCCATGGCACACAGCACAACCACCACCTACCAATTATGTCTTTATCTCCATTTCTATTCCTATGAATTACACACAATCAACACCTTTGTTACTAGCAGTCAAGAAATCAAAATATGCTACACTGGGGAAAATTACCTGTCAAGGGCCTCTCCAGTGTGCTAAAGAATAAAGATATTAATTTAAATATTAGGTGCAATCCATGGTCTTTTTATTCACTTGTTATGCATCTGAGAGCTAGACAATGTATAGCAATGACAGAAGAAGAATTGGTGCCTTTGAGCTGTGGTGTTGGAAAAGAGTGATGAATATTCCATGGATTGCCCAAAGAACAAACAAATGTATCTTGGAGAAAATACAGCCAAAGGTTCCTTGGAGGCAAAGATGTTAAAGCTTTGTCTCATACACTTTGAGCATGTTGTGAGAGGAGAGGCTATTCCTTGGAAAGGGACATCATGTTTTGAAAGGTAGAAGGCTGGTGAAAGAGTGGAAGACCCTCAACCAGGTGAATTGGCACAATGACTGCTGCAGTGGGCTCTGGTGTGTCAGGAATTGTGAGGATGGCACAGGATAGGACAGGGTTTAGATCTATCATTCATAGTGTCATTTGGGTCATACTCAATGGCACCTAACAAAAGTCCTTTGAAAAAGATATTATGCTTAGATAGGTAGAGGACCAGAATAAGAGAGATTCTCAACTAAATGGATTGACACAATGATTGTAACAATGGGTTTGAGTATATCAAAAATGATGAGGATGGTATAAGATAGAGCGCAGACCCATTGTTCATAGCCTCATTATTAGTTGTCATTGACTTAATGGCACACAGGAAAAACAAAATAAAACAAACAAAAATTTCCCCAATCAGTTTTGTTCAATGGCAGTATTTCTCAGTATTGATTGCCTATTGGAATCATGTAGTCATCTGAACTTTCCCCACCCTCAAAGGGTATGATTTAACAGATTTGGGATAGACTTCAATTTTGGGATTTTTTTTTTTAAAGCTACAGGGTAAATCTTAAGTGTACCCAGGATGGAGATTAACTGTGTTGGAGTCTTTTAATATTTTCTATTGCATCCATTGTTGATGCAGTTCAATTTAAAGCCTCAAATAGCACTGTTTTCACTACTAATCAACACGAGATCTGTTGCAAAAATTAGTTTGGGAGAAATGTATAGGCAATGATGGAAAGAAATAGGAAATACCAGAGAATACTGAAGATGTGTATAAACTTATACAAACACCTTTTAGGTAAAGTTGTCAATATTAAGAGAAATTCCATATATCCAATCACCCCCCTGAAATTTCTTATATCTCTTTAATCTACTTCTACTCCAGAGAAATTCTCCCACCTGCACCAGAAATTTGTTTATGCACATTAATTACAACACTGTTTGCAATAATATACTCAGAAGGGAAATGGATTAAGTATAGTGTGACCTTTTCATTTGGTAAATTAGTAAATAATTAAAATTGATGGACTACAATTATATATATCAATATAAAATTACCCTGAAAACAAAATTTCAAGCAAAATAATTTGTATCAGGAATTATAATTTCTTTGTATCTAGAACTTTCATATAATTATCAACTTTCTATGTAGAACTTCAACATAATTATCAAAAATATTTAAATTATTCAAGGTTTCTTTAATTGAGTGGACTTGGTATACATATATATGGCACAATTGATTTTCTGAGCTCTGTGTGGGACGTAAGTATTTATTACTTTTTGTTTTCTATGTCTTCATGTTGTTAAGAGGGTAGAGACTGTCTGTGGTATCAGTTTGATATCCAACACCTATCAAAGCCTCTGGTATACAGTGTATACTATTGAATAAATACTTAAAATATATTTGTACTTTTATCCTTTAAACATATTGAAGTAAAATGCTTTAAATTTCAACTTTTTAATATATACATACCGTTACCTTATTTAGTAGAAATAATTTGATACTCTGACAAGTATATGATAGGAAGTTCAGCAAAGACTGTATTTCTATAAAGAAAGTATTCTGATGGCTAAAATTTGCTTAAATTAAAGCAAAATTATAATTATATACTTTTATAACAGGAATGTATTTATACTGTGCCAAAAACTATGATGAGAGAAAACTAGAGATTCTTCAGATGCATTACTTTGTCATTTAAGTTATTCCAGGGTCAAATATTCATCACATGCACTATTCAGGTTATTTTCCCCTATCTTTTTTTTGTTTGTCTTCCTTGATATTTGCCTTTTTAGAGCTTATAAATATATTAATCAAAGAATAAAAGGAGGAAATTAAGAAAAAATTAAATTGGGAGAAATTTTATCATACTTTATTATATCAGAATTTTTTACTGTTGAAGTATATATAACATTTTATTAAGAATAAAATTTGTTTGGTTTTATCTATTATATTGTCAAATAACTTCATATAAATCAAGTATTCTCTATCTTCCTTTTGCAGATAAATAACCATTGAATATATATCGTTTATGATAATTACTAACAGAAATATTAGCAGATGTCATTGGGAGGATGTTCTAGGGCAGATTTTATGCTTAACGCTTACTATACATTATACCATTTATTTCACAAAACTGTGGGAGAAAGGGTAGAGTTATTCATGCTGAGTAGCAGAAAAAACAAATGTAATTTACAAAGTGACAGTCCTGAAATTCAAATACAAGTTTTTGAATAACTTTACTGCATGATTTCTGAAACCTAACCTACACTGTATTGACAGTCAACCCTTGTCATTCTAATTCCCTCTCATGTTGACAATTCTTACGGATATTGAGAAGCAGACTTCTGAGTTTCCTAAATCATAGCCCAAGACATCCCATACTCTTTCCACCATTGTTTGCATATATAAAACATGCTCTCTTCTAACTGAAATGTAGGCAATCACCATCAGTGAGAAAATTTCCCTCCAGTATCTCAGGCTAAGGAACACGAAGTTACTGGATAATGTGATTGATAACGTCTATTATAAAACGACACTATCTCTTTGAAACAGAAATAATTTTTCATATCTAAGAGATGTGGATGGTGTCCAATCATGAGAGGGCCAATTATAACAGCAACCCATCACTGTGTCAAATCCATGGCTGCAATTATTATGTGGCTTAAGGAAAGGAAAATTTCCTCAGCGCTAGATAGGCTCCGGTGACTAAGTACATTTGTTGAAATAGTTAAATATTGATGTTAAAAAAAAAATTAACAAACTGCCTCTTTTGGGTAACAGCTTGTGAAGATTAGTAAAGATTTCAGAATTTCATGTGACATCCAAACCCAAATATTGTATCTTTGTTATTCTGGGTGAGATTAAATTTCTCATCGTCCTATTGCTACAGATGGTTCATGATTCACCTTCTCAACTACATAACACATTTAATTTGTCAAGTAAATAAGATATGTGGGGGAAAGTGCTTCTTTTGGCTATGTACTGCAAGAGAGCCTTACTTGACAATGCAATGTTACAACATATTCTGAGCTATAGGAGATAACAGTTCCCACTACTGTCAGAAAAGGAGGGTGTTTGTAAGCTATCAAGGCCCTAGGGCAGGCAGAGTATAGCGTTTTATGTGGTACAGAAAGAACTTTGAGAATCAGGTAATAGAGAGGCATAAAAATATGTCAGTGTCAGATTGAAATGAAGAAAAAAAAGGAACAGAAACGTACTGTCTTGAAGATGAGACACATAACTAGTACTAGACATTCAAAAGATAACTAAATCCTTTTGAAAAAGTAACCCTGGATGCTTTAATTTGTATTTAAAAACCAGGAATATTTAAGGCAGGGTGATTTTATGAGAAGCTAAATACACTAAGTGGACAGATTATAAATGAAAACTTAAGCATTGCAGAGTGATAGCAGTCCTATATTTAAATTTTCTCTAACACGTGTCTAGTTTTCTGTGTTGTATTGCATATACCTTCTGAACATCTCACAATGTTGAGATCAGAATAATTTACTTCACAGTCTAGTTAAGTAGATGTTGGAATACAGAAAAAGAAAAGTTACATACAATCCAACTTGAAGTGCATGTGAACACATATAAAATTGTAAAACAAACATAGAATTGTAGGCATAAGGGCATAATTTGATAGACACTTGAAAGAGAACCAACTCTACCTTGCATTCTGGACAACCATGACTTGACTGCATTGGTTCCGAGAACAAGAGTGAAGAGATGACAGGAGTAGAAGATACAGGAAGGAAAAAAAGTTGGGAACAGAAATAAGGAAGAAAATGTGAGAATAATAATTAGAGGAGATATAACATAAATGACATAAAGCAGATAATAACTTTAGAACCAATATAAAAATAAAGCCTCACATAGGAAAGAAATCAAAAGTTATTGGGCACCATCATAATTAGTAGTAATTACATGAAAAGAACTAAGACTTGAACAGAAGGAGCACACTGATTATCTTTAGGCCCTCTCTCAACTTTTTTTAATATAAATTTTTTAATTTTAATTGTGATTTCAACAAAAGTTTACAGGAAAGTTGGATTTACATTCATTCAGTTTTTTCTCCTTCCCCCTCATTTCTCCCTCCTCCAGTACAAATTCTTTTTTAAAATATTCATTCATTGTTGCACAAGTTCCTCCCCCCTCTCCCCCAAGTTCACTTTGCAATGTGCCTCTTATTTTGGACTGTTGTCACACATATAATGCTTTTAAGGTTGGCTGGTTTGACAAATTGTATGAGAATGGCTTTGGTAGGCAAACCCTCTACATTAATGTTACCTGCCTATCCTTTCTGGTTATTTAAGTTTGTACATTTTAATTGAAACACTGTGTAGTTATCCAAGGATCCCAAACCTGAATCCATTGCTACCCAGCCAAATATGACTAAATGCAACCCTACAGGACAAAGTAGAACTTCCCCATAGTAGGTGAGATACTTTGCCTATTTCTCCCACCCAGTGCCTGATGGGTGTTCACTTGGACATTTTGGTTAGCAGCTGAATAGTTACTTAACCACTGCGCTACCAGGGCTGTGATTAATAATAAAGGATAAGTGCTCCCAATTACTATAAAACTTTATTCTCCAGGATAATATTAGAAAATGGAAAATAAATGAGAGTGCCACATTTTCATTCATCTGTCAACTAATACTACAGTAAAACAATCTTAGCATCTTCCTCTTCTCTGATCATATTGTAGTTAAATAATATCAGCAGCCAAATCAATGGCTAAGTGAAGTCATCATTTTGTTGTTATGTTCACTTTTAAAACTATAGCAAGATTATGGTTAGAAGTAAGTAGTACACAGAGACAGAAATTAATTAATGTACATGAAAAACTCTTCTTTCCTAAGCTATGTGGGTTGTATATTGCCATACACATTGATCAAGGCCATTTTAGTAAAATAAAATTTTCAGTAGAATAAAAGAGAGGAATTTTTGCTGTGTGCTGTCAAGTCAGTAGTGACTCATAGCTGACTCTCTAGTAGTTTTTCAGAGGCAGTAAATCCCACAGGAGGAATCTGCCTACTCTCCTCCCACAGAGCAGCAGGTGGATTTGCGCCTTTGGGATTGCAGCTTAGCTTCTTACTACTAGGTCACCAGAACAATAATAACAATGATTCTAAATGTTTTAATAAAATTATTGGACAAGATTAAGTTAAATGCTGTACACTGAACCTTATAGATTCTCAGTCACTGCCATGTCGACCTGCCATTGACTTCTAACTCTGTACATATTTTCGTTTTTTAAGGCTGTAAATCTTAAAAAGAGGAGACTATCTGCTTTCCTCTATGGAATTGCTGAGGGATCTGAATCACAGATGATGTTGGCCTTTTAAATACACCTCTGGGGCTCCTTGAACTATATCTCTATCTCTATCTCTGTCTCTGTCTCTATCTCTATCATCTCTCTCTCTCTCTCTCTATTTCTATCTCTACCTCAATCTCTATCTCTATCATCTCTATCTCTACCTCTATCTCTATCTCTATCTCATCATCTATTTATATCTATATCTCGTCTTGCAATATTCAAATTATTTTTTAGTTTTCAAATTTATGTCCCTGACAAACTATAAGTTATGACTCTGCTACACTCTCAGTATCACCAAAAAAAAGGTACTCAGAAAAATTATTGCTTTGCTAGTGATTATAACTAATTAGTAAATAGGAGAGTAAGGCAATGTTTGTATCATTTTCAGATCAACCACAGACAGAGAACATATATTCAATTATTTCAATGCTTTAAATTTGCTAAGATTTGTTTTTGTTCCCAGAATGTAGGCTACCTTGGTATGCTCCTATGGTATGTTATCTTGGTTATGTCATTTGAAACAAATATGTGTCCTGCTTTTTATGGATAGTATTCTGTTTAATTATATTTTTAACCCAATTAGAGAAAAATTATGAGAGAATTGGGACAATAGCTAGGGAATTATTTTTAAATTATTATGGCCATATGATGTTACTGCTATTTAAAATATGAAGTATATTCTTTTAAATATGATACTAAAATATTTTCAAAATATTTGATACAAGCTGAGATTTACTTCAAGAAAATATGGGAGCAGAGTGAATGAGAATAAAAGTGAAAAACTAAGGAAAACCGTTGAAGTTGTGAGATGCATATATGTTGAGTAATTATATTTTCCTATTTCTTTTACATATGTATAAAAATTTTCAGTTAAATAATACTCAATATCTATTACTAAAATGAATGAAAAATGAACCAAAAATACTCACTTAAAAAGTTTAAATGATATTGCTATTTATTATATACCTATAATTCCATTTTTCTAATTTTGCTGCTATCAGTTGTTCAGATAAGGGTCTGAATTCACTGTTTTTAAGTGACATGGATGTACCATGGACTGCCAGGAAAACAGATTCATCCTAGAGAGGGTTAAACCAGGCTGCTCCTTGGAGGCAAGGATTCTGGGGCTTCGCCTGACATACTTTGGACATGTTGTAAGGAGAGACATGTCTTTAGAGAGGGACATCATGCTGGGTAGAGTAGAAGGACAGCCCAGGAGGGGAAGACCCTCTATGAGGTTGATTGACTCTGTGACTGGGGTAATTGGGATGGGTGTGTCAGAGGCAGTGCGATTGGCACGGGATAGAGCACGGTTTAGGGCTGTTGTACATAGGGTCGTTATGAGTCCCAAACGACTCGACGGCACATAACAGCAACAACAACAACGACATAATACAGCATAACAATTTGTCTCATGATGTGCAAATTTAGCATCATTAAGGACTACTTCCTCTATAGAAACAATTTATATATTACCCTCTCTATGTATAGTATATATATATATATATGAAGAGATTAAAATATTATTTTTTATTTATTTACCAAAGTCAATATTTCCAATATTATACTTTTTTCAATTATGGCCTAAACATTGATTTGAAAATATTTTTATTATTAGGACTGCAAAGCCCTTTTCTTCCTCTCCCGGTATGGCTACTGTGTGTTTTTTCTTTCTGCTCTACCTCCTTTCCCAGAAATAGTTATCTGAGACCCCAGACCACTTCCCTATCTTGTAGAAAACATCTGAGAGCATCCCCTTCCCCAAGTTCATTGTAAGAGAATATAAAACGCCTCTCTAACTTTTAGTGCGGGTTGGTCTTCTGCTTGAGAACCAGCCCGGCAGTTTCTTCTCAATAAACTGTCTTTCTTGGCCTGAGCTGGTTGTCCTTCCTAGGCAACCTTACAATTTTACAAAATAATAAAAGTGCTTGAATTAGCATTAATCTATTGTACAACAGAAAAGAAAGTAAATAACAGCTTATATAAAAATATACAATTTTGCATTGGTTTCATAAATAAAATAATTCAAGAGTATAAATCAATTCATTTAAATCTGATGTAGAAAATTTCCTAAATTATTTCATAGTCAATATGACTGATAATCACATGAAGGACTTTATGAATATAATTGAAATTATCTACTAACTAGAACTAATTAAATATGCATAGAAAAGGAGAATAATACACACAATTAAGTGAGATATAATCTTAAGGAAATTTAGAGAAGAAGGCATTATCTATATTTTAAGCCATGGTGTAATTATTATTTGATGAAGTACTTAGAAAATACTGCTTCCTTCCTTACCCTCTCCCTGGAAGAAGATACACTTTCACAAAAGGGTCAGAATAGCCGTTGTTATCTCGAGGAACAAGGTTTCTTGCTTGGAGAATGTGTATTATGAGATTTCCAAGATCATAGTTGATTTGAAGCTTCAGGGGATAGCAACATATTTGTTATTGTATAAAACATTATATGTTATCATTTAATTTTTAACACACAAACAACTCTTATAAACACTATGAGCCCTCATTTCCTTTTACTTGAAATTGAACAGACTAGTTAAGGTCTAGTTTAATTGAAGGCTTCCAGACATTTCTTTTTCATTCTTAATATGTAATTGTCTTCATGGAAAATGAATAAGCATTATAGAAGAAAAATGGATGCGTTTGAGTTGTGTTGTTGGAGAAGAGTACTGAATAACCCATGGAGGGCAAAAGAACACATATCTTGGGGAAGGGACAGCCACAGTGCTGCTTGGAGGCAAAAATGATAAAGCTTTGCCTCACACACTTTGTTAGGAGAGGCTAGTCCTCAGAAAGAGACAGCATGCTTACAAATGTGGAGGACTGATGAAGTGAGGAAGGCGTTCAACCACATGGATTGACACAGTGACTGTAGCAATGAGCTCGAGTACGTCAGAGACTGTGAGCATGGCATGGGAGAGGATAAGGCCCAGATCTGTTGTTCAGAGGGTCACTATAGTTTGTATTCGACTCGATGATATCTAATAACTACCACCTCATGATGAAAGCCTTGGTTAGCCAGAAATTAATTCAGAAGGGAAAAAAAATGTAATGAATAATATTTATATATTTGAGCGCTTCTAAAGATAACCACTGGAACTTTGAAATTAACTACCTTGTAAATGTGTCAAAAATTTTCATTTTAATTCCTCCAAAAAAGTAACACAGATGTGAAAATCTTATTTAAGAATATATATACTAATATTGAAGTACAAGAATAAGAATATTAAGGAATGAATCCTTTTATCCCTGCTTACATGACACCATAGGATGTTAAATCTTCAGCTTCTCTTTGTTGTCCTGGTTTTTTTTCTAATATGTGAAAGAGTTTGATAATAAAATATTATCTTTAATTTTAGAAGCTGAAGGGGAAAGAAGATACATTGCCTCTTAGATACATGCAAGCTGTTTCATAATTTCACTGAAGAGTTAAGCATTTACAATACAAACATTTGTAGAATTATGAATAATTCAACATAATTAAATTAACTAATGTTTCTCCTTCCAAATTGAAAGATTCTTTGGCATCTTCTCAAATAAGGTTGAATTTCATTTGATGCTGTTTTTTGTTTATCAAATAACAGAAAGGTAGGAGTCTACATTTCAAAGGAGAAAAGTTTAAAAAATATTTTTATAGTTCATATAATATGGATTTTCAGTGATTATACTAAGGTGAAGTAGTAATTTAGGTCAGTCAAATTTTTATTTAAAATTTAATAAGTGAAAATAAATGGCCACTTTCGCAAATTTTGGACTTGGTTTCTTTACTTGGTAGAAAATTAATCTTCAGCTGCCTTAGTCCACCAAGAAAAGTTCAAAGTCATTCTAATACCATGAAAGCATATAAAACATTAAGAAGAGAAGAGGACAAATAGGAAGATTTAGAACTGCAGTCACAGCTTGTTGTAACAGGACTGGAATATATAATGTGAAATAATCTGTAGCCAACTTTAAACAGCTTCTAAATATTTAATTAAGGACATGATATCTCTCTTTCTCTGCCAATGTTACAGTCCACTTAATGGATGATGTACACAAGTAAATCTTAATTATTTTCTTGTTATTGATATTAAGGCTTGCAGTCTTCTCCAAATGAATACTTTTCACATTTTACTCTGTGAGATGTTAGAGAACTTTTAGAGTTCCTCAGGGGTCACTAGTCAAAGAATAGGGAATGTTCGCAGACATTCATTCCTCATTCAAAACAGCCACTGTGCTGATAGACACATAGCTTGTTGTCCCTGCCTAATGCTTGGAATAAAGTTGAAACAAGAAAAATAAATTTAGTAATAGTCAACATCACAACCATAAGGAATGGCCAAGGAGCAGCAATATTCTTCCTTGTATGATTTTTTTTTTTTCTTCTAGGAACACCCCTCATGTTTTTGTATGATTATTTTAGAATTAAAATCTTTGCAAAGTCTTTCAGAAGAAAAATCATCCAGAATGGGCTGGAAATGCAAACATGACTTGCTGTTTCTTTTCACTCTCTAGAAATTACTACCTTCAAATCATGATCATTTAATATTATGTTAATTGTGTCCTTTTATGTGACATTTTCTCTGACCAAAAAAGCTTTATAAATTTTAAAATTTATGCTTTCTTTCATAGTAATGTTAGTGCCTAACTGAACTTACTTCTTTTTTAATTTTTACTGCAATTTTAATCAAAGTACACACAAAAGTTGGATTTTCATTTATTCATTGTTGCACATTTTCCTGCCTACCCACCTCCAGTTCTCTTAAAAAAAATCATTCATTGTTGCATAATTTCCTCCCTCCACTCATTCCAGTCCACTTCACTATGCACCTCTTATTCTGGACTGTTGTCATACAAACAATGTCTAATCATATATTTAGTGTGCTTTTTCTGTATCATTGAATGCACAGCTTCCCTAATTTTATTTTCTCTGAGCAAAAATAAGAAATACATTTTAAAATAAGGCATAAGGACAATTAAGCATTCACAAGAATGTCTTAAAAATTAAACTTTTTTCTGGTTATAATCATGACAATTTCATAAATTACAAATAATTAATGAGCAAGGAAAGAAGAAACTTTTAAAAAGGAACTTTCATACTTTCAGGAAAATATGCCATTTTTTAAATGGACATTCACCAAATGTAAAGGAACAGGCACAGAAGATAATGACACTGCTTGGGTATCAGATAGACTTAAAAGTATAAATTTTCACAGGCTTTTGTTATTGTGTGTTGTTGAGTCAGAATCGACCCATAGTTGATCCTCAAGTCGTTTTCAGAGGCAGTAAATCGCATAAGAGGAGATATGCACTCCCTTCTCCCATGGAGCAGCTTGTGGATTTGGGATTGCAAGACAGCTTCTTAACACTAGGGCACCAAAGATTTTCATAAAAAAACATATTTTATGTAAAAATAACAACTATTCTATAAATTACTATTTCCCTTCCCAGTTCTGTATGTGTTATAGGCTAGTTTTAGTAAAGTAGAAAGGATCTGATTCTGTTTACCACTTTATTAGACCAGTGGAAAAAAGAGTAAAAAATTAAAGTATAATAATAACTTTTTAAAATTCCATACCTGAATTTCCCCTGTAATTGGATGAGATACAACCTTTGTTGCATCAGCGGGCTGCAATATTAAAAAAAACAATACATATTACATTACAGATAAAATTTCAATCATATTTATTATTCTATCTTCTAGCTGAAATTCATTTCTATTTGGCCAGAGCCCAGTGCCTGGCAGACATATTTCTTCCAATTGACAACTTCAGAATATACATTACTCAAGACATACCTAAATTTATAGACAAAGAAATCTGTTTTCCATTTTGCTAAGCCTGTTTTGGAATTATAATTTTACATGCATTTTCAGTCATTCCAAACGATGCTCAGTTCTCACTAAAGAATTTAACTCTTTAAAGGCTTTAAAGATCTATATATTTCATAAACGCATTGCTGTTGAGAGGGGATCAGCTGACCTCTCCACTGTGTTTTTAAGACTGTAAATCACTCTGGAGGGGAGATTACTGTCATTCTCCCACAGAGTTGCTAGAGAATTGGAACTGCCTGCCACAAGGGTAAGAACTTTAGATTAACCAGCACAACCCTGTCTAAGCTACTGGTCCATTGTTTTCCTGTCTAAGATTCTTCTAGGTGGTATAGGATAGGACTGGTTTGTCAAGCATTGCTGTATAGAGGTAACTTGTGGTTGCTGTGATGCTGACCACTGTGACACTGATGTGCCAAATGTGGTAATTAATGGTCACCCATGGTGGACAGTGTTTGCTGGAGCTTCCCGACTAAAACAAGCCTGGAAGCAGGAGCAGCATCCACTTCTGAAGTGTCTTGCCTCCAGAAACCCTATGAACAATGCTCAGGTCTTTCATTCATAGGGTCGCTGTGAGTGGTTTCCGACTCTGTGGCACCAAACAACAACAACAATGGAAAAAAAAAATTATCAAGTCAATTACCATTTGTAATGACTCTTTAGACATTGTAATACTATCCTATAGGTTTTCCAAGGCTATAAATCTTTATAGAAGAGTGACATAACTTTTCTTGTGTAACAACTGGTGGGTTTGAACTGTGGATTTCTTATTGCCAAGAACTTCAGTTACTGAACCACTATGGCTGGGGAATAGAGAAGTTTTACATTCCCCTCCCCCCCTCAGGGCACCCTCCCCCACAGACAGCGTTTCCCAGCTCTTTTCCATAATAAAGAACTCTGATAGATAAGGACCTCTCAATAACTAGTACTCCTTAGTTAATTTCCATGTCCTCTACTATACATCCCCATTTCCTGAACAAGAGTTTCATGTTGCCTTTAAAACACTTACGATTTGATCTGGTAAACAAATTCATATTGTTGAATAAAAAACTGACTGCTGACAGGTTGTGTGTCAGTGGAATACTTGTATAAAAGGTGAGATGCTACCGATAGCTCAATTATCCAGTAAAATTTAGGCCAATATAGAATTTATCTTTCTATTTTGTAGTCTCTCATCGTTGTTAAATCAGAACAGACTCATAGCTGACCCACCAGCAGATTTTCAGAGGTTGTAAATAGCACAGGAGGAGACTGCCCCTTTTTCTCTCCTGGAGCAGCTTGTGGATTCCACCCACCTATCTATCTTTGGGTTGGCAGTGCAATTCCACACCAACTAGGACATCAGAGCTCTGTATAGAAGAAATATTTACTAAGAAAGTTAGTTTCCTTGTTACCCTTCATATACAGCCCTTTCCTATATATGTACATATGGTGGCCTTGATTTTAAAATTGACTAACAAAAGCAAGATTCAAGATACTATATAATTTAGGTTGATATATTTGTTCTACTCTTTCCCTCTATATTGTGTTCTAGAAATGAGGACAAGTAACATAAAAGAGTTATATTCCAGGTCTTGGTCTGTGAAATAACTTAGAAATAAAATGAATGATAATACCAGATGTAGGGAGATCTGGTGGCTTAGTGGGTAAGAAGAGAGGCTGCCCACTAGTGTTTCGACAATGTGAATTCTCCAGCTGCTCTGTGGGATGACACACAATCACCTCCAGTGACATTTACAGTCTTGTAAAACCTGCTGGAGGCTCAGCTACGAGTTGATTCTAGCTGATCAGCAATGAGGTTCATACAGGTCACAAAATTGCACGACATGGAATTGAACAGAACTTCTTATATAAATAGAATTTATGTTGGTGGAATTGAACAGAACTTCTTATATAAATAGAATTTATGTTGTATGATATAATTAGATTATAAAATCTTAAAATATATTTTTACATTATAAGCTTTAGAGGAAAAAGAAAAAGTTCTTTTCCTTTATTCATATGGTATTCTAGATGGGTTTAGAATTTGCATTGATTTTATTTACTCATTAGCAAATTAATCAATGAAAATGTTTCTAGAAACTTTATCATAATACATGCTGAAGACAAAGAAAGGTACTATTATCTACAAGGCTACTGTTTAAACCTTTAATGATGAAAATTTTGAACTAAGTGAAAAATAACTGAAAATTGAACCAAAATTTTAACATTCATCTAAAACCACAAAACTCTTAGTAAAAAGCATAGAGATAATGCTTTAAGATATACTTTTTTTTAGAATGGATATTTTTAAATATGGCATCAAAAGCATGAACAACAGAAGGTAACATAAATAAGTGTAACCTTGGACTTATACTCAGGAACTCTGATATTAGCAGTCAGGCAATCAAAAGACGTGTTGCACTTGGAAAGTCTGTAATCCAAGATCTCTCCAAAGTGTTGAAGAGCAAGGAAGTCAGTTTAAACCCTAGGGCAAGCCTGTCCTAAGCCATGATCTTTTCAATTATTTGCTCTACATGTGAAAGTTGCAGAGTGAATAAAGTTTACAGTAAAAAGCAGAATTGATGACTTTGGTGATGCTAGTGTTCTAAATATTCAATGCACTGACAAGAAAACAAGCAAATATGTCTTGGTGAGGGTGTAATCAAGGTGATGCATACTTTCTTAGAGGGAAGGATGGTGAAACTTCGTTTCAAATATTTTGGGCAGGCTGTTAAAAGAGTCCAGTCCTTGGAGAAGGACATCAGGCTTGGAAAAGTGGAGGGTCGGCAAGCAAGGGGAAGGCCATGAATGAGATAGATTGCCATGGTGACTATAATAATGGGCTCAAGCATAACACATGACAAAGATGGCATCGTATAGTGTAGGATTCTAATTCATTGTTCATAGGGTCACTAAGAGTCAGCATTGACTTGACAGTACATAACAACACTGTATTAAAAGCTCACCACTCTTTCATTCCTTAAAAATCCAAAATAATATTTACAAAAGAATGCAAAGGTAGCACCTTGAATACAAACAAGTCCAATATTATACAACAACAATAAAAAATAACTCATGAAATATCATGGATTCTGCAAAAATGTGTTACGGTATGTAGAAATACATGGTCTGGTATATCTTGACCAGTTTGTTATTCGGAAGAAAAACTTCTATTTTTTAATAAACCAGAAGAAAAAAAACATATAGCTATATTAAGCTTCTGGCTTGGTGGTCTGAGGAGGAAAGGAGTTGAACTTGTCTCACCTTGCTGCTGCTGTGTTTCTTTTTGCTCACTGAGGGTGACCCTGGTTGGCCCGGGCTGGGAACAGAACTGGACCCTGCTGATGTAGGTCCCGAGTGGACATGCGGTCCTTTCTCAACGACGGATGACAGAACAAGCGGCGACTGTTGGAGAGAAACCTTCTGGAGTTCCGCTGCCAATTGCTTAGGATCCACCCCTGGAGATTTCGCTTTATCCACTACAACAAGAGGAAACAGCTTTACACATTCTTCCTAAGTGTAAGAGCTAAGTTCTGGGGATAAAGTAAAACCACTCCTTACAAAATGAGCTGAACTTAAAAGACATAAGTCAATTGCTCCTGTGTGCATACATCTCTAAAGAAAGGCAGAGAAGAGCAAACGTAGGGATGAATTTCAAACGGGATTTGAAATCCCCAATATATCTTCATAATAGTTGTAATGTTTTGTATAGAGAAGAAAACCTCTGAATGAATGAAGAAATATTATATTTTCTCCAGTGGAGCATGACTTGTAGAATCAGCTAGTTTTCCTTCTTTGAATTATACACATCTCTTTCATAGGGTTGCTATGAGTCGTCTACGACTCGACGGCACTAAACAACAAAACAACTTTCTTTGAAAGGGGAATTTAAAAGAACATATATACATTTGTTGGCATATTAAAACTCCTGCTGGACTTTCAGCTCCATTTAGTGCAATATACCTGATCCAAAGAATTGTGGTTATAAAATAATAAGTAAGCATTTGTTAAACATAAGAGAAAAAATTTTTTTTTAATTTTAAGATTGACATAAATATATAAAGTATATTCCTTATTTAGGAAAGAATGAAATATTTTTCATCACGGAATTATGTGTTGATTTGAAAGTGACAAAACTCATATATGTTAAAAAAGAGCAATAAATTGTAATCTAAAATTATCTAAGACCCTCTAAAAGTGGTACAAGTAGTAATGAGGTCAGCTGTGTCAGAGATGGTGAGGTTGGCTCAGAAGAGAGCAAGGTTGTTCTTAGAGTCATTATGAGTTATAGTAGACTTGAAAGGACATAACAAAACAACATAAAAGAGAGTCATCGGATAAAGCCTTTGAAAGAATTGTTGACTCCTACAGCAAGGACTGTAAAGGTGTTCCTTTAATGGGCTGAACGTACAAATCTGCATGTCTCTAGAATGTTAAAACCATAACTGTAATATGTTTGATTTAATTTCTCTCTTTGTAACTTTACCTTGTCCATGTCTACATTTTCTTCTACTACCATATCAATGGGGGTCTGGCAGAAGGACTTTGCCAGCATTTGGGCATGCCGGGTTGGTAAGACCCTGAAAGGTCATGTCCTGCCTAGGGTCTTGGGAGATTTAATGTCAGCTGAATCTGGACTCTAGCTCCTTGAGGCATGGCAGGTTTAAGGGCTCAGAGCAATTTTGGTGTTCTTTGGGCCCCACGTGGGAGTCAGAAGAGCAGGGGTTGGCAGAGCGGACATGCCAAATGAACTGGGGGTCTGGTGGAAGGACTTTGCCAGCATTTGGGCATGCTGGGTTGGTAAGACCCTGAAGGGCCCTTGGGCTTGCGGCCCTCTGGCCAGTCTTTCATTGTTTTTGTTCAGACGTTCCTCTAGGTCATATAGTCCTGGTGTCCAAGTTGCCATACAGTGGTCACTTGTGGTTGCCGTGAGGCTGAACACTGTGATACTGATGTGTCATATGCGTTAATGGCTGGTTACCCAATGTGGACAGAGAGTGGAGTGGTGCTCCCCAATTAAAACAAGCTTGGAAGGAGGAGTGGCATCCACTTCCATAATAGCTTGCCTCTGGAAACCCTATGTACTTAGAGAGAGGATGAGAGACACCCTAGTGTTTGAGGACTCTCCTTCAAAGGGTTGCTATGAGTTGCCTGCAACTCATCGGCACTTAACAGCAACAACAACAACAATAACAACTATATCAACTTTAAAACTACCTCTACATCTGTAACATTATCTTGTTCACGTCTCTTTTTTCTTATACAACTATATCTACATTAAAATTACCTCTACATTGGGAACTTTAATCTTACAGAAGAAACTAGTTTACAAGTCTAATAATGTATTTGGTCACAACCCTATCTAATCTAAGATTAGAAGAACTAGAAGAAAGGGTCACAGTAGAAGGGCCCTGACAGAGTAAGATAAAAATGAGGACAAAACTCATATTCTTAAAAAGTCTAGACCTACTGAACTACTTAAGAATATCAGATTCTTTGAGAACATAATCCTGAGATACTCTTTAACTTTGAACTGGAACTATCTCCTTGTGTCACCTATTAGAATATCAAATAACGTACGGTCCACAAAATATATGATATTAATCAAGACTATGGTATTCTGTTAAAAACAAAACCAAAACAAAACAAATGTATATGTGCCTTAAAGGTCAACAAAATGGGATGACAAGGAGGGAGGGGAAACAGAGTACTAGGAACAGAATCACCAGGGTGCAGTGGAACAAACTGTTGACACACGGGGAGAATGTAATCAATGCCGCTAGACACTTTGTGTAGAAATTTACAAATAGGATCCTAAGTAATGGCATCAACTTTAACCCAAAATGCCACAAAATATTATTTAAAAGACAAACAAACTATGATTCTACTTTATTTGAAGTTATAAGCACATTGCGTCCACCTACCAGCTTTTGGGGGTTCATGAAGCTCCAGGTGCTGGGAATTTTCAGAATCTGATAGCATATTGAGGTCCCTAAAAAATGAAAACACAAAGTTAGGAGGGAAATTGAGGAAGCCTGGGGGAGATACACCTTTCCCACCAAAATACCCTGAATATTTTATTTCAATAGGTAAATGAGAAGTGGTTAATGATACAAAGCAACCCCAAAGCATGCTCATCCTTCTAACCCAATATTCAGTTGCAATGCTGTTCAAAGTCAGAGCTGATAAAAATGATTATTTAAGGTGAAATCTTTATGGGCTAATTATAAATTTATTTTTCAATACTCTATAAATCAATGACATCTAAACGGGTTTAGGCTTTCATTTGTTTGAAACATGTTTCAATAAAAGCATGAAAGATGGGAAACTATGGACATTATCAGAAAGAAAAGGAACTGAATTTTTTCTTTGCTTCAGAGTTTGATTCTGAACACAAGGTTTCTAGAAAACCTGTATTCACTTTATTTTCTAACTGGCAAAGGTTCCACCTTAACAATTTTAAATCAAAACAGCCATGAATAGCCAAAGAATGGAAACCAAAAGATGGGGAAAAACTCACAGTCTTACACATATTTCTGCTTCCCCACTTTGCTGATTAATTATACTTTGTACTTCTTCATATGTTTTAGAAGTCAAAGGAATTCCATTCCATTCCAATACTTGCATCCCTAAAAAGACAAATTGGAGTGGAACATCAAATGTGTATCATTTCTGGTCTGAGTAACATGAGCCAAAGACAACATTGCTTTTCTTTAAAAATCAACTCAGCACACCATTTCAGAGAACATAAATTCCAAGATTTCGGACACAATAATACCATTAATTGACTTACCTGAAAATGAACTCATTACATGCAAAATTCGTACTTTGGAAAGTATAGAAATATCAGCAAATGCATGCATTTTGTTCACACTTCTTTATAAAAAAAACCCCACATTATCCAGTTCATATTTTTAAAACAGTTTTATACAGGAAAGAACCAATTGCATTCACTCATTAAAATTTTCCCTGGTGAAAAAAACTAGTAGAGTGTAAATTTCTGTTTCTTTTGTGGAATGGGAGGTAGTAGATAAGTCTTCCAAAGTTGTGGCAAAAAGTCTTTCATTCGTGAAGCTTCCTCAAGGAATTTTATACAGCTTCAACTGTTCAGATACATCAGATTTCCACCTTGTATCTTTGAATAACAAGTTAGATATTTCTGAATAGAAGAGTGGCAGGCATGTTTCAGACAGGGCCAGTTTCATATGGTGTAACCTGTGTATCACTGTAGGACCCAGTGCTTAGAAAGACGCCAGGCTGCTTTAATGTTCTTATAATGTCTGAATAAAGCAACTGGTATTTTCATTATCTGACCCTGCAAACGATGAAGCTGACTTGCCTATAAAAGGATCTTTCCTTCAATGTATAGAAACTAATTGCATTTTAAAAGAAATAAAGTATCATAATTAACATTTCAGCATAATATCTAGTTTCTTATGTTCGTTTTATATTATGTGTTAAATATTTTGTCTTATTACTAGTGGGTGTCATTGAGTCAATATTTGACTCATGGCAACATCATACGGCAGATTAGAGCTGTCGCAAAAGATTTTTTAGACTTTATACAGAGGCAAACTGTCAGCTCTTGAATCAAGTAGTTTCCATTTGGGAGAAAACCATAAGAAATCAGGACCTTAATCCGATGGTACATGGACCTTTTAAAATACTTTAGAAGGGTATATTAGCAAAGCTTACCTACTGCCAAGTGTTGCTCCATGAACTGGATACAAATTAGGATAAGGTATGGAGCTTGGGAATTAGTGAGTGCTACCAGCTTTCAGCTGAGAAAAATGTCTTAATGCCATAAGCAGGCAATAATTTATTTTTAAAAGAGATAACCATTGACAAATTGGAAATTCAGAATTTTACAACGTCAATGTGGAATTCTCTGTTGTTCAGTTTGAGTACACAAAGAAATTCTAAGCATGGCATGATTGAGTACTTGAACATTTTAATGATTATGATCTATATTGGTATGCATAATGCCAGTTACTAACACAAAGAAAGTTTATTTATTTTTTTACCCCAACTAGGATAAAAAGCAAATGAAGTTCATAAAAATGCTCACAAGAACACAAACAAGAAGGACTTTTCTATAACTTACTCCAAGAAACTTTCTCTTCAGATGGGCCTTAGGTTTATTTCAACAATCCCATGCTGTTATACACATAAAATAAGAAAATTATGTAATGACAGTGACAACCATACTGAAGAAAAATAAAACATACAAACACACAGAATGAAGAAAATAAAGTGCACATTTTGGGTTGTTGTTCAGGAAGAAGAGTACACATATTTATGAACAGACAGCTTTGAATAGAAACAAATTTGTTTTGTTTTAATCCAGAATTATACTTTCATGTTTCTGCAGAAGTAGATTTTATGAAAGGAATGGTCTCTTGCAATTATCTTGGTTAGATTTACTTACTCATTATTTAAATATAAAATAAAGGGGCAAATATATAAATGATCATTCTCTAGTGAAAACAAACAGAAATGGATTATAGTCATGCTGTTGTTGTTATGTGCCATCTATGCTTGTGACTAATAGCTCTGAACACTGCTCTATGACACACCTACCTCCATTACCCCAGTCACTGAATCAATTCATCTCATTGAAGGTCTCCCTTTCTTGCATTCTCCATCCACCCTCCCAAGCATGATGTCCTTCTCCAAGGACTGGTCCCTCTTTACAACATGCTCAATGTATATTAGACAAAACTTCAAAATCCTTGCATCCAAGGAGCAGCCTGGCTTCACCCTCTCTAGGATGAACCTGTTTGTGCTCTCTTCTCCAGCACCACAGCTTAAAGGTATCAATTCTCTTTCCATCATCCCTGGTCATCATCCAGAAATTGTATCATTTTTAAAAATGTTGAGAAAATCATAGTTAACTGAGATTTGATTAAATATATAGCCATTGCCGTAGATTACATGGTCTCTCACCATGACAGAAGAGTTGGACATTTCCTCCTTTCAATTTCACAGCAGAGGGGGTAAATCTCACACAAGAATTTGGTGCATTCAGTTCAAATAATTGTTCCTGTCCTTAATTTTGGGTTGCTGTCCACCTAGGTATCAGCAACTAACTCAAGGAAATAAGACTATTTAAAGCTTCTCACCTTTTGCTTCTTTAATCTTCTTCTATTCCTGTAAGAACTATACTAAAATAATTAAAACAATTCCTAAATAACTCACTTGTATCAAGAGATGGTTTAAGTATTGTAAGAATGGATTATAGTGTTATTTCAAATATATGAGAAAACATTTACAAATTTCTGAACACTATCTTAAAATAATATATACATAAATTCTAGAAAATTATTGCACCCTAGGCAGCTTTAATGGAGTCATATTTTATCATCTAAAAGATTTTTATAAAAGCATTTTCAATCTTAAAATAGCTTTTTTAAGAATCCCATATTTTAGCAAACATTCCTGGAAGGCAGTATACAGCTGAACGGTTATGCTTATCAACTAGCATGATAAGTGAACATTTACATTTTCTTATGTAAATATTTTCTGAAGATAATAATACCATATTTTATCACTCATCAAATAGCAAAAAATTTGATATTTTGAAAATGATAAATGTTGACTATATGTGAGGACAAGAGACCATGAGTTTAACAAGGAGATGATATTTGTTAGATAATTACTCCCATTTATTCCACTCTATGACACAAGAATAGTATGACCAAGACAGGAGGCAAAGTAACAACTGATTATTTACAATTTATAAACATATAATTATTATAATGGGAATGCAGAAAAGAACAACTATTCTGGTGGCAATCTGGCAGAACACCATTAAATTACAAATGCTTTATGACTCAGAGAATCTCCTCTTGGGTATATATTTGTAGAAAATGGGAACTATCAGTATAAGCGGAAAATAATAGTGTGGTAAGTGCTCACTATGGGGACACTAGGCAGATGCTGAAAGAAACAGACTATAATAGATGTTAGCATTAGCAAAGTGGATTCATCTTAAAGTAATTTCCCACCTAAAAACAAGAGTTGGTTTTGTGGTTTTTTTTTTCTATTGGGTTACACAGCATTTATGAAAAATAGCATATAATTGATAATACAAATAATAAGAAAATTTTTTTAAACCAAAGAAGAATAAGAATACAACTGAAATATAACAAAAATTCATTTTCGTAATAGCAAAATGATATTACATATTTTACAATGAAGTGACAGTTATAAAATAAATTAAAATAATGCCATGAAAAGGAGAAAAAATGCAAAAGGGAAATGATATGGAAAGAAATGAATAAGGGCATTAATAAGTGAATATAACAACAGAGGAGGCAAGTCCACATGAACAAATGAGGCCGATGTGCTGCTGGGAACTAAGAGTCTGATACACTGTGGGGTTTCCAATACCCAATTAAAAAGATACTAAATCATGTACATTTTGTCGTTTTTCATCTCTCTACTATATGAAGAATTGACACCTTTGAGCTGTGGTGCTGAAGAAGAGTATTGAATGTACCATGGACTGCCAAGAAAACAAACAGATTCATCGTAGAGAGGATTAAACCAGGCTACTCCTTGGAGGCAAGGATTCTGGGGCTTCGTCTGACATACTTTGGACATGTGGCAAGGAGAGACAGGTCTTTGGAGAGGGACATCATGCTGGGTAGAGTAGAGGGACAGTGCAGGAGGGGAAGACCCTCTATGAGGTGGATTGATTCGGTGACTGGGGTAACTGGGATGGGTGTGTTGGAGGCAATGCGATTGGCACAGGATAGAGCAGGGTTTAGGGCTGCTGTACATAGGGTCGCTATGAGTCGCAAATGACTTGATAGCACATAACAACAACAACAACAACAACAACAACTATTATCATTAATAGAACCAGCAGCCAGGAAATGAAAAGATGAGTTGCACTGGGAATGTCTGCTGTCAGAGACCTCTCCAAGATACTGAAGATCAATAATGCTAGTCTGGAGACTAAGATGTGCCTGATACAGTCCATGGTCTTTGCAATTACTTGCTATGCATTAGAGAGCTGGACAATGACCAGGGATGATAGGAGGAGAATTGATGTCTTTGAGCTGTGGTGCTGAAGAGTGCTGAATATTCCACAGACTGCTAGAACAAACAAGTTAGTTCTGGAGAGGGTGAAGCCACACTGGTCCTTAGAGGCAAGCATTCTGACGGTTTGCCTGACATACTTTGGACATGTTGCAAGGCAGCATCAGTCCTTGGAGAGGTATATCATGCTTGGGAGGTGGAGGGATAGTGCAGGAGAGGAAGACCCTGGATGAGATGGATTGATTCAGTCACTGGGGTAAAGGCGATAGGCCTGTCGGAGACAATAAGATTGGCAGGGGATAGAGCAGGGTTTAGGGTTGCTATGAGTTGCAGGCAACTCAATGGCACATAACAACTATTATCATTAACCAAGTGTCTAGACAAACATCCTTAATTTGAAGAGGACTCAGTTTTTGGTGCTGAGTCAGTTCCTGTTCACAGCATCCCTGTGTGTATCAGAATGCAGCTCTGCGTCGTCTTCACAATCCACTGTGCATAAGCCCATCACTGCAGTCACTATGCCAATACATAAGGAGCTCTGGTGGCCTAATGGGGGAGTCGCACTGTCAACACAAAGCATGTG